GAAGAAAATGCTCAAAAGGGAAGAGAAACTAGATGGGGGAAAGGAGAAAAGAAGGAAGGAAAGGAAAAATAGATATAAAATATATGTATAATAGTTCAGATAGATATACTATGAATGGCTATTAGCTCATTGAAAGGATAGGTATACGCCTACATTGCTTGATGGGTTTTTTCATGCCTACATCATGTATTATGAGCAATTACTTTGAAGATAGCAATGTACAATGTACTGAACATTTTTATTCTCCTACAATCTTGTTTTGAAATTTTATAGCATTGTTTATTTTGCTTCTCTCTAAAATAAAAAAAGAGAAGAAAATGCAAAAGATCTACTGTTCTCTTAGAGAACTAACCAGATCCCCTAAGCAATGCTATGCTCATTCCCCATGCCAGACCACTCCCGTGATCTTTAACTTCCCATCAGGGTCTCTTCCAAAACACCACAGCACAGTTTGTCTTTTTGAGACAGGGTCTCGCTATGCAGTTCAGGCTGGCCTTGAACTCACTTGTAGCCCAGGCTGGTTTTGAACTTGCAACAATCCCCCTGCCTCAGCCTCCCGAGTGCTGGGATTACAGGCGTGTGCCATCACGGCCAGCACTACAGCACATTTTAATATTACCACAGTAGTAACCTAGCTTTCAATATAAACATATTTGCAAGGTGAATCACATCCATATCAGAGCTTCCTCTTGGAAAACCATCCACTCCTGTCTCAGAGAGTGAAAAGCCTTATGACTTCATTTTTATTGCTGGGACAAAATTATTAAAGGAGGAAGAATTTTGTTGGCTCCTACTTTAGAACATAGTCAGCTGGCTGCAAGGCAGTAATATGACTGTGGAAATTTATGGCAGAAAGATTTTAGAGAAACGCTTGTTGGAGGAAGACTGCTCAGCCCACACAGTGATAACACAGAGAGTGTGAGAAAGCCTAATGGAGTGACAAGGGATCATATAGAGGAAGGCTCCCCAGAAATCTATTTCTTGCAACTGGTCTCCAACTTCTATCAGACCATTCAGAAATGAACTTCTCAATGGAGCAGTCCACTGATGAGAGTAGCTCTCTTATAATCTGTGGGAAAGAGA